ATGTGGGAGAGTTCCTATTTATATTTTTGTCGGTTCTGCTGTTTTTAGTACTATTGATTTCACTATTTGCATTTTAATTGCGGGTATCTTGGTTGGTTTTATTTGATTTATTAGGAGTTTTGAGATTTGTCCTTTCTGACATATTCAGAAACACACCTTTTATCTGTTTTAAGAATGCTACTTTTAATAGATTGACAGTGCAATATTAGATGTCGTATGGATGGGATTTTATGATTCTTGGATGTTGTTATTAGAATTTTGGGTTGGAAATGCTAAATATGGACTGTTGATTCTTAGCATTTTTATAAAATGGGACATGGATATGCTTTGTTGTTGGTGATATTTGCTATCCTGCAACTGTCTCAGCTACCACTTAATGCTTGGTACCATTTGCTTGTCATCTTGTTACTGTGATTGTTAAACTTCTTTATTATATATCTATCAACTTATTGACGGATATGTTTCAGTATCTTGTGGGTCTTGTTGCATTATTTTAGTTTTTGCAGATCCAGGTCCTTGTTCACATCATTCTACTTGGTCTCCTTGTGCTTAATTGTTGAACTGCCTAAATATCAGTATAAATTTTAAAATTTTTTATGTAATTAATAGTGACGGTTATCCTTCAGCCTATGGTCGTGAACATAGACAGAGCACTGTTTTTGTGATGTTCATATGGTTTTATCTGTTTGGTTTTGTTATATTATCTCAACATTGCTTGTTTTAACTTTCTATGTCTTACTACATCCTTTTCTCATTTGCTTTCTGTGGTCATAGTTACTTAGGAAATTCCATTTCATCCAAATGCCATTTGATTTTGGATGGCAATAATATAGTAACTGCTTTTTTAAGTTAAAAAAAATGTAAATTTATATGTTTGAATAAGCTGCTGGCCTCAGATTATTATGATATACTTGTGTGAATGCTGAATTTGTTTATGTCCTATTGCTTCCATGAATTAGATTCTGCCTCAATCATGATTTTTTCAGGGATTGCTGAAGTGTAATTGTTGTGATTTGTGATGTTACTGATAATGCTTCCTTCAGAAAATTTCTAAAGTAGCTCTAATTTTGATGTAGCCGTTTTGGTACTTGGCCAGTTGCCATGCTTGCCGCAAGCAAAAACAAGGCAATTTTGGAAGGTCCAGTATGCAATGGAAGTCAAGTAATTGGATGGCACACAAATGAGAAAAGTAAAGGACTTCGACGGTTTCATGTTGATATGTCAGGATTTGCTTTCAACAGCACCATCTTGTGGGACCCAAAGAGATGGAGATGCCCATTTCCAAATCCAATTCGACAGTTGGATACCGTGAAGGAGGGTTTTCAAGTATGCATCGGCCTGTTGCATGTTTATAATTTTACTTTGCAGTGTCACTTTGTATTTTCCAACTTATTTCTGGAGATATCATCTTTTCATTTGTGGCCTTGAACTGCCTTTTTCACAGGAAACTACATTTATAGAACAAGTGGTGGAAGATGAAAGTCAAATGGAAGGTACACCACCTAGTTGCTCAAGGATACTGAACTGGCATCTCCATTTGGATGCTCGGAATGTTGTTTATCCTGGAGGTTGGCTACTTCAGAAGAACCTTGATGTTGTTTTGCCCATTAAGTGACAGAGTTTTGTCTCTGTGATTTTTCACAGGGAAGCACAGGTCAGTATGGCAGTTGCACATGCATTAAACTTGAATTTGACATTTTTAATCTTTGCCTAAAGATAGGCTAGCCTGAAACAAGGACACACGTAAACACAACAAACAGTTTTCCATATCCCTTAAAAGCAGTATGAGTGGAGATAATTAGAAATTTAGAAACGTGGTTCTTGGGCAGTTTCCTTATTCTGTGGCATCGTTTGTTCCTATATTCAGCCCTTGATTTTTCCTTGGTATGGTGTCATTTCACCTCATCCAAAAATTGTTTTGTAATTAATCTTTTGTTCCTGTACAGTTCTGTCTTCTATTTGTGTTTTTGACTACCTTCACAAGGAGGTTTGCAACCATTTGTGATCATTAGGAGCAAGCTACAGATATTTACCAGGCCATGAGAAAAGGATAGTGTTTTGTTCGGTAGCTTCATATTCTTTACCGAACAAAATCTTGTTTCCTTGTAGAGTTGCGGTTTTACATAGTTTGTTATTCTTTTCGGAATATCCCACACCACCAAAAATTCAAGTTGTCTTGTGGGGAATGTTGTTCAAGCATACATACTACCTGGGGCTGTGTCAAATTGAAGCAAGCTGCAGGGCATCATGTTAAGTAACTTTTGTGGTTAAAAAGAAAGGAGATGCGATTAACTTTATTTCCATTCGACACATTTTTTTTTATAGAAATGTATATTCCTCAAAAGACATTGGTTCATTCATCACTTATGATTCAGCTTAGCCGTTTTTCATCTCTTGTACGACCTGGATTGACTGCAGTTTTAGTTTCTGCTTCAACTGTTTATGATTATGCTGATTTCCTATAAATGTGAAAATATATATAAAAAAAGAGTCCATTTTTTTACAATTTAAATTATTTGAAATTATAAAACAGAGGCTGTTAAATGAGGGTAACATTTCAATAGCAGATTACATGTTTCTCATTCAAAGATTTATATTTTGCAATCTAATATAGTTTAGATTGCAAAACAGTTTTTCATAAAAGAAATAAACTTCATAAAAGTTATTACCATTAGCTAATTGAGGCGAAAAGGGACAGAACAGAGATTAAGGGTTTGTTTGGTACAGCGGTTAAAATTTA